CTAAGCCGCCAGCCTCCTCCTGGTCCAGCATCTTCAGCCACGTCAACCACTGCTGTCCTCCTTGTCCCCTCTCAACCATCCGCCACTCCGCCTCCCGCCTTGAGCAGTTCACGCTCATCTTCCCACAGTCATGTGTCTGTCAAGGACATGTTTGAGCGTAAGAAGACAATGTCAGAAAGTCACCCCCTTGCCCAGCGTCTGACTGCTGGCTTGTCCGAACTATTAGCCCGCCAGCTTTTACCATACAAGCTGGTGGAGTCTGAGGCGTTCAAAAAATTTGTAGCTATTGGACACCGCAGTGGAAGGTACCCGGCCGAAATTTCTTTTCACAAAAGGCAATCCCCAACCTGTACTCGACTGTGCAAAAGGAAGTAATGGCATGTCTGGCACACAGTGTTGGGGCAAGGGTCCGTCTGACCACTGATACCTGGTCTGCAAAGCAGTGGGTACTTTATAAATGGCTCCACCTGCCACCCGTACAGCAACACAGTCTCCAGTTAGGAGGACCGACCAAGCATCTTCTTCCATCTCCTTGTTCCAAAAATCGCTGCCATATACACGTCCACTGATAGGAGACGCAACAGGTATTAAACTGATAAGAATAGTACTAAACACACCACTCCTATTTGGTGGCACATTAGATTGCACGCGCAGTGCCCCTATGTAGGGGGGAACAGTCTCTATTCCGCTCTTTGTCAGTGTGTATCAGGGGCTTTGAGGACGGGGAACAGTCTCTATTCTGAGACGACGTTGGCAGGGCTCTTCACTTGTGTGATCTGTCATGAATTGTCATTTGAATGTTAATTTGAACTGTGTTGTCTGCAAACGTTAGAAAGTCACCCCCTTGCCCGGATGTTTTGTTCCTCAGATATATACTATACATTGTCGATGCTAACGATGTGGCTCCTGAGCCGCTAAGGTGCGTTCTGTGTGTGTCCCATGTGTGCAGCATCAGTTTAGTGGTCTCTAGCATGTGTGGTGTTGTCGGCCTCAGGTGTTTTGGCACCCAAAATAAGTGGTGCATGCCCAGTGGGATTCAATATCAACCCATTGCGGTGGGTTTTCTGCCCTGTGTGCCGTGGCCAGCGTGGCTAAAATGGCAGCCTTGTAGTACAGTTTCCCCTCCCCGTTAGTCTTTTGATTGTGGAGTGTGCCACCCTGGGTGTTTTATTCGCCCATGTGAATCTCGTGATGTTTTTTTGTAGTTTGACCATATATTGCCTGGGGATGGGGATGGGGATGGGGATCTGCAGCGTGCGGAATAAATATTGTAGTTTTGGCAACAGTGACATTTTAAATGCCGCTATGCGGCCATGCCATGAGTGGAAGTCACTGTTCCATTGGTCTAACGTCTGAGTAATTTCCTGCAAGAGTTTTTCGTAATTGTATTTAAACATTTGGCAATTCGTCTTGGCTAGCTTGATCCCCAGAAATGTGATATAATCTTCCCTCCAGTCAAAGTTAAAGGATTCCGTCAGTGTTTGTAGGGTACGTCCTGGTAGGTGAATTCCCATCGCCTGTGTTTTTGTGAGATTAAGTTTGTAGTAGGATACTTTGTTATAGTCTTGTATGCACTGTAGTAGGTTCGGTAGGGATATTAGAGGTTGCGTCAGGGTCAAGAGTATGTCGTCCGCGAAGAGGTTGAGAGTGTACTCACTGTCCCCCACTTGGACGCCGTGGATATCAGGGTGAGCTCTGATCACTGCAGCCAGAGGCTCCAGTGCCAGTAAGTATAGCAGGGGGACAGGGGGCACCCCTGTCTCGTTCCATTGGTGATGACTATCTTTTTTTGACACAAAACCTGAATTAAGGACCTGACCTCTGGGTGCCGAATAGAGTGCTCTGACTACAGAAATCCCCATCCCAGCCGGTCGAAGGCTTTTTCTGCGTCCAATGAGAGCAGAACCCCCCCTTCCCGTGTCACCCCTAGGCTTTGCATGAGGTCAAGGACTTTTCTGGTGTTGTCTGCCCCCTGGCGCCCCGTCACGAATCCCACCTGATCATCATGTATAATGTGTGGTAGTATCGGACCCAGTCGAATAGCGTACAGTTTAGCCAGTATTTTGGTGTCAGTGTTGAGGAGGGATATGGGTCTAAAGTTTTGAGGGTAGGTTGGAGGTTTGCCCGGCTTGGGCAGAGTGATAATGTGGGCTAGCTGCATCTCCCCCGGTAGGGTTTGTGATCGTGCGGCTTCATTAAAAACCTCTGCTAGGCAGGGGGCCAGTATAACTCTAAACTTGCTGTAATAAGAGTTGGCAAAGCCATCTGGGCCCGGGGCCTTGCCCCTTGGCAGCGTCTGTACGGTATCCCTTACCTCCTCTGGGGTGACTGGTCGGGTGAGTGTTTCTTTCTGTTGAGTTGTCAGGGTCGGAAGGTTGAGTTTGTTTAGGTAAGTCTCTATCTCGGTATCTGTCGGGGTGGTTATGGTTGCGTCATTACGGAGGTTGTACAGGTCTCCATAGTATTGTGCAAACTCGTCGCTAATAGATAGCGGCGACATAACTTTCCCCCCTGCTTTTGTGTGTAGGAATGCTATCTTCTGTGACTGCTGTCGCTTTTTTAACCTCGATGCCAGCAGTTTACCCGCTCTATTCCCATGGGAGTAATGTGCTGTTATTTATTTTAATTTTTTTTGGTGAGGCTTTACAGGACAGAGTGCTTCTCCACGGGACATGTTAACTCACGGGCAGCTGGCTCATCAAGGAACCAGAGCAGCTTTCCATGTACAGGTAAGACACGTGCAGCCGGTAAAGGTTCAGGCTCTTCTTCCTGGAGGATACGCTGCAAGACACAAGCATTGTAAGTCTACTTAGAGTTGGTGGATAAAGCAAATACAAAGAACAGTATTCATTGATCAATGCAGACACCTTATATCTTTGTTTAAGCTGCTGATCCCAAAGAGCCAGTCATTTCCAACTTCCTACTGGATTATATTCAAAGACTAAATGAACGTTAAGCAAGCTTGCGGCCTACAAGAACTTGAACTGGGGTTAGGCGGCCACTTTCCCTGCGCTACAGATCATAGCGTCGACTTACGCTAGCCCCCATCGGACCAGTGGGGGTCATCCCTGACCCGGCTGGGCAATGGCACATTGATATTCTGAACCACAAATCACCCCTAAAGATTGTCGGTGGGCGAGGAGTGGCAGTGTCCTAGATGGTGGACGACCCTGCTCATGTTACTCAAGGCAGGATGAGGCACTAAGCTGACCTGAAGTACTTACACAGTCAAATAATGGCTAATCTGGAGGAAGCCTTTGACTGTTTTTGGGACAAATGTTGTAGCCTGTTGAACGAGGTGACCTTGCTCGGGTCCCAGGTGTGCGGTTCCTAAAATGGCTGCCATATACACGTCCACTGATAGGAGACGCGAAAGGTATTAAACTGACCAGAACAATACTAAACACACCACTCCTATCTGGTGGCACATTAGATTGCCCACTTGTATGCTTTGTTCTGTGGACTCACGTCATCCTTAATGAGGCATTCTCTCATTTGGTCAGTTTTAGACTCGGGATAGTAACATGTAGAGTAATCAGTCGCCAGCCATGAAAGTAGAATAATGCCTGGTGCATCATCTTCATCTATAAATTTGACGATTGCAAATGTATTTGCTACTGCCATATCCAACTTTCACAGAAAAGTAACTCACTCTTATGAAAAAAATAAGATAAAGTATACACAAAATAAATGATGAAAGTAATATTATATATCATGTACCCTTGCCTTCATTAAAAATGCAGTTAAGAGGGGGCGTGGCCTGGAGCTCGAGCAGCATGGACGCACGTCTGTGAAGCTCCCGCAGCACTGGGGACGGAGCACAACTAAACGGACTACAGAGCACAAAATAAAGGTACCCAAAGACCCACAATGTCTCAGAGGCAGAAACAGAAAGCTGCCAAAGAAGAATGAGCGTCCTTTTTTATGGCCAGATCCGCCGCGAAAAAACCGCGGGAAACCGGCGGCCTAGTACAAGATGGCGACGGAGATTGCTCCCGCGAGTGATCCATGTCACTTACAACTTCTATCACCTCCCTGGCAGAACAGCCCCTTACCACAACCTCAATGAGGCTCATGCTGGCCGAACTAGCTGACAACTTTCAGCTGCTATGAAGAAACAACTGCACAACCTGGCAACAGAGTTAAGGAAAGATGTTGCAGACATAGGCCAGCGTACAGCCCAAATAGAGCAGAAACTGGATGATTGCACAGATGCCCATAACTACCTGGCTGAAAAAGTGCAGGACTACGAAACACAACTAAATAACCTTAAAACAAAAGTGGCTGACCTGGAAGACCGCTCCCGGAGGAACAACATCCGGATAAGGGGCATCCCTGAAACGATACTGCCGGCGGGCCTGGGTGACTACCTCCAAGACATGTTCCAAGCGCTAGCTCCAGCCATCCACCCAGACCAGATGGTAGTCGACAGGGTGCATCGCCTAAGACGGCCACAACACATGCCGCCCACCACAGAGAGGGATGTCATCGCACGCATACATTTTTTCCACGTGAAAGAACAGATCATGAGAGAAAGCAGAACGGCAGGCATGCCGGACCCGTATGGACACATCAAAATTTTTGCCGACTTATCAGCAGAAACATTACAGTTTAGCAAAGTTTGACCCAGATCACAGCCACCCTGCAAGAGAAGAACATCGCCTACAGGTGGGGATACCCAGCCAAACTACTGATCCACCGCGAGGGGAAAATGTACGTGATACTCAACACAGAAATGGGGCTCCTTAAACTCAAGGACTGGGGCATACAGGTCGCAGAGGAGGTGAAACAACACCTCCATAAAATCCCCAGAGTAACAAGAGACTGGTCAACCGCCTGAACACCGCAGTCACCTCTTGCCTCCAGAAGGCGACAAGCGGTCACCGACCCATGAGTATACCACTAGAGACTTAAGATGACAAGCATGTGAGTTTAAAGTAACAAATGTATTCATTCTGTTCCCCCTTTGGTTTGGTTTGGTTTGGTTTTTTGCACCCACATTGCCAAGTACAGGTGCCCAAAGTTACAGGTTCAGGGGTTAGTTCACAGGACCTCTGGGGCACAGGCGCAATACTCTAGGGCCAACTCATTGGAAGGCCCCTGGATCAAAATCCTAGAGGGCGCCTCTATACTTTTGTTGCAACGCTGTGATCCCACTACTGCAACCACGGTTGAGTCCCCGGATTATGACCGGGCTCATACACCCACCCCCCAACGACTGTGACCGGGATTCTACCGGCGCATCTTGGCTCCCCGAGATGGAGCCCTTTCAGGCGTACTGCCTATCTGTTTGTCCCACACCCCCTATGTGTTTCTTACCTTCTAATGTCCCCTACCCCAGGCCCCACAAAGCATCAAAAGACGCCAACCACCACCCCATAACCATGCCGACTCGAAGACAACCAAACTAAGTGCCATTACAGATATGCCCACGATTAGATTTAGAGACTACCTAGAACACCGTTATGAAATTAGTCACCTACAATGTAAAAGGGCTAAATGTTACAAACTGCCATTTGTAACTGTTATTTTATTTGACAAATTGCCCTGCTTCCCTGTGTTCTGGAGAAGCCTAATTGCCAGCCTTCTGCCCCATGACTATGGACCTAGTGTGTATGGCGATTTGACTGTATTTGTGGGATTTGAGCGCTGTTTGGATATATTGAGCGCTCAGATCCAAACCATCTGGGGATAGGTTGAATGTGGGGGTTCTGTTCAGTTCAATAGGAGTTATGTATTTTTGTGTCTTTTTGTGTCTTTTGCTGACATGTGGTTAATGGAGTCTGCCTCTATCCCTGGATAATTGGATTACTTTCCCCATTTTCCAGGATAGAGGGCTCTGTAAATCCGGTTTGGGCCAGAAAACCATGCTGCCAGCTAGGCCCCAAAAGATACTTTTGCTAACTTGTGAACCCCTTGTCTGATTTGTGCCATTTTTTAATATGTTGCTCCCCTTGATGGATTGATTCCAAATATGTATTTGTATGAAGATTGGATGTATGGTTTTAAAGTTACAGGGTATGGATAAAAACTGTATTGTGCAACATAATTAGATCACAGGCAGAGGGGAGGAGTTTTGTGTGTAATTGCTGGGAGTGTTTCTGTAATGTACATTTATTATTGGTTGTTTTATACCTCCCTGTGGGCGGTCCTGTATTTGCAAGACTGTAATAAAAACCAGGCTGGGTGTGCCAGCACCTCAGATCTTCTTGACCCTCTAACTTGCAGCCTTGACTCATGTTTGTAGGGGACAGCTATAATCACTACAGGGATTGCTATGCTCTTCATACTCTCTTAGCTACTGAGCTCTTGTAAGAGCTCTTGTTCCTGATCCTGCTTCGCTCTGCAGAAGGAAGAGGTTCACCTACTGGAACCTGGAGCCTGGTCGTGGGTCCAGGGCACAGAGCAGACGGCGGGATACCAGCCCAGCAGCGGTGGTTCGTGGAGTCTGCAGTACTTATGGTGGCTACGCAGTAGTTATGGTGTCTACGGTGTTGATGGTCCTTTGGTGAGCGCTAGGAGCATCCTTTTCTACGGTCCAACTTCCAGCCAGCCTGGAGGCAACCGTAACATTTGGTGGCAGCGGTGGGATGGCGTCCTAGCGCAAAGAGCAGCACCCCAACAGCACTGGTATCGTATGAGAGAGTATTGAGGGCAACGCTAGCCACTGCGCAGCGTCCCTACCTAGAGCAGCATGGAGCCAGAAAGTCCGTGCACAGCAGCCGAAATGGAGGAGAGGTTCCTCGACAGATTGCATGGCTTCCTATCCTGGAAAGATGGGGCAGTCTCAGAAGAGGAGATGTGTGGGTACAGAAGTGAGGCCAGAGCCGAGCTGTGGGAAGAAGCCCTACAGGAAGTTCAGCGTTGGCGAGGTGATCGTAGAATCAGCAGAGGGCAGCAAATCCAGGCTCGAATGGCAGAGCGGATGCCCCTCCTGGGCAAACAACCCCTTCCAGTGTGGGTGACTAAACTAGAGGATCTAGTATACAGTGAACTGTGGCTCGACAACGCATACCAGGCGCTACAGTGGTACGCGACTCAGCTTGTTCCAGAGATAGCTGAGTATGAATTCCCTGAGTGTGGGGATTACAATGGCCCTGATCTATTCTGGGAGAATATGGACGATGATGACTTTGGAAGGGCTACAGACTCACGCTTCTGGGACCTGTATGATGACCGGGAAGACAAGCTGGGACTCCCTAGAGCTATTGGCCTGGAAGCAGACCTAGTCACCCAGGAATGTGTCCTGGAGTGGAAGTACCAGCACATCATCCAGGGGTCCCGGGAAGAGACAACCCGTCCCCTTCCTCAACAGCATCCAGAGGTCCCCCTAGAGAGCACAGTAGCAGAGCCAGATCGAGAGTCCTTCAGCTGGAAGGATATCGTAGAGGTATACTGGGAGGAACCTCTGATGGCAGGTAGAGATGGGACCGAGGTCTCTCTACAGGCCCTACAGGGATGCTGGGCAGTCGGCCCAGATCCCCAACCCCTGGGTGAGTT